ATAGGAATGATGTAGCTGCAGCTTTTTTTTTTTGTTTTAATCCAACAAAGTGCTAGCAAGATGCCACATGCATATGAATCAGGCAATCCCTGGCATAAGGATGTGGTGTGTCTCTTGTAAAGGCAAAGGTTGACCTTGCCTTGTGAATCCAAGTGACACACTTGGAGCCATCCACATTTTGATTTCAAGCCAGTGAAATCAGATTTTCTTTTTCTAGAGTTGCTGAAAGGTTGGTGGAGAGGGAGGCAGCTAATGCCAAGGTAGAACTATGAATGTTTCTTGTCATGTCTTCAAGTAATGCATTCCAGAGCTCTTCATTTAATCATCCAGAGATAAATAAGCTACCACTTATTAAAAACTAATTATGTTTTAAGCAGCACAGCTAAAAGATAATCTGTGTTACAGAATTCCTAGTGGCAAAACATCCAGGATTTTTTACATGTAAAATCATGAAACTGCTATGATGCTTTTGAAGTTTTAACACACTCGTGCATTTGCTTGAAAACTACTATGCAAGCAGTAAACACTCTTGTTTGGGTCTGATTCTTCAAGGTGCAATACAGGTACCTCTTCACTTAACTTCATGGGCTCATTCTCACAAGTCTGACTTGATAGCTGTTAATATTTTTGAACTATGTGTTTGACAATCAACACAATAGAAAAAAAAGATCTGTGGTTTTAGTATCGATAGGTCTCCTCACCAAAAATTACATTTCCAGCTAGAATACTGAAGAGGCTTAACAAAGCCACTTTGAAGGGAAAAAACTCCAAGACAATGCCTTTTTCTTTTGCTTCTCTAATTGCTGCAGATGTTGTGCAGTTGCACCTATGAAAAGTTAAATATTACGTCTCTGTAACATTTTTGATCTTCATTAATTATAGCTCAGAAAACCTTACAAAAAGCAGCCTGCCTCTTTAATACAAATAAGATTAATTGCATGGGTGTTCAGAAAATGAGCCACCAGTAGTTAAACAAAAAATGTTTGTCTTTAAGCAGCCCTTGAATGATTTTTTTTTTTAAACTGTTACAGGAAGTGAAGAGGCTGCCAAATTACCATGCCCGTGAGCCCCATTCTCATTATCAGCCTAAACGAACGCACACACCCCGCCACTTTCATCCTCTTCCAGGTCCAAGAAAAAGAAAAAGGAGGCAAAAAAACCCAACCACCCTTCCACACAAAGAGGTGTCTCTGAAGTCTGGAATGCACCCTGGCTGTTTGAAGACAAGATTTATACCTGACACCCTCCTTTAAGCTCATTGTTGAGACTCGCCTGCGTTCAAATCAACCGCAGACTGGCTGCTGCAGGTACTTCATCTTACAACAACCACATCATCTAAGATAAATGCACCAGGAATTGCTATCACTTTGAGGTGAAAAAAAAAAAAACGGGTGAAGGGGGGATGGAAATCAAACCTCTGATGCAGGTAGTGGGTGGAGGAAAAGACAGACGGGCATGCAGGAGTGCGTAAGGGTGCGAGCAGGGAAGAAGCCAGCGACAGCCGCCAGCCTGCGGCATGGGGCGCAAGGATGAAATGGGTCTGGCTGCCTGTGTGGGCACCTGTGTTTTGGCCCAGCCTCTCCTTGCCTTTGGCAGCCAGGCTGTGGGACCAGGAGCTGGGTGGGATCCTTAAGCCACCCCAGTGCAGGGAAGTGGTGACCACTCGGGTGCTTGTGAAGGACTGAAAGGAGCTTATCGACTTGGTGGGAGACAATGAGAAGGACTGTGCCATCAATTCATGGCATTCCCATGTTTTCTGAGACAAGCCTGATTTCTTCATTTTAGAATCCTGTCCCTAAGTAAGCTGTGGTTAGCTACTTTCATTCAGCTTATTAAATTTCTCTGGAGGAAAACCTTTGGTAGAAAGGACTTAATTTTAAACTGAATCTGTCTGGTGGGAGGCAAAGCCATAGGGCTTTTGCTTCTCATTGAGATAGGTGAAGCAAACAATAGGAGAGGCAGAAGAGAGTGCTCAGGACAGAGTCAAGATGGAGAGAAACACAGCTGAATGTCCTAGAGCTCAGGCTGCTGAAACTCTAGCATTAGCAGGAGTTGGGCTAATTACTGAAGGCTTTGAAGTGATGCTGTCAGAAAATGTCTGTCATAATGAGAGAATAAAACCTGGCAAATGGCAGAGATACTTATTGCCTATATCATACTATTGCTCAAAGGCTCAATAAAAGTTGGAGTGTAAGGATGCAGTTTGTGGCATAGAACCAGCTAAGGAGCATTTTCCAGGGTGAAGAATTACCATGGCATTTGGAATAATGCCCTATTAATCCAGGGCATCCAAAAATGGTTCTGAGGAGATATTCTGAAATTAAACCGATAGACAAAAAAACAGAGAAAATGACAGCATAGGTAGTTAATGTAAAACTTTAAAGTTAGAAAAACCTGCCCTTCTGAAGCATTTCATAATGCCTATCTTGGATCCAGAGACAGAAAGCCATATGAGATATGCAAAAATACTAAGGTACCTAAGGACTGTTCTAGCATCACAGGTTTGACCTGCTACTGGGCAGGACCCATCAGCATGTTCTGGATTTAACCCAACAGAAAGATCTTTATTTGGTTTTCTGGTTCTCATTTCTCAAGCAGTTAAGACTCAGGGCTTTACAGGGCTTCTTCCAAAACTTCTGGGCTGACAGAGATGTTTGAGATCTGGGAAAAAGGAGCTGGTTTAATCCATTTCAGCTATAGAGCACTTTCTATATTTAGGATTTTAAATTATGTTTCATTAAGAATGCAAATTATGAGCATTTCTAGGACTCCACGTACTTGCATGTCCCAGCTAGCACATAAGCCTCATGCCGTTACAAATCTGAATAAGGCAGGCTAAGTTTGCAGCAGAATTAAAACAGGGCAAAAGGGAGGGTGGGAAGAGAGCTCAAACAACACATTCAACATTTGCCAACTTGGGTGGGAGGAAAAACATCTACACTAGCACTGAACTGACACAACTGCATATGAAGCTGCAGCATCAATATCAGCTTGGCCACAGGTATCCTGTTCCATTTTTTGCAATTGAAAAACTTACAATTTTTAAATATTTTTAGATTTTTTTTTTCCTGTGGGCCGTTTTGTAGTTTTGGGTTTTTTTTTTTCGCTTGGGGAATTTGGGGGATGATGTCTTCTACCTTCAGCAAAAGATTCTCAGAGAAATCAGTTTCATCAACCCGTGACCAATGTATTGAAAAATGGAGCATGGTTCCACTGCAGCAATCCTAGGAAATGTTGTGGACACTTAGCTTGGAGCCTCCATAATTTGTGACACCAAGCTTCTGAGGAAATAACATTCAGTATTTCATTCTGACATTTCAGCTCTTGACAGCACTACAGAATGCTGCTTGAACCTAAAGTCAAATGCAATAAACTGTGCACAGATTTGCCAAAAAAAACAAAACCAAAAACATGAGCAAGGCCAATACAGACTGCCATCACAGGAGTGGGAAACAGAAATACCTGGCTCTAAGCAGCTGCTTCACTGCTGCCTGCCTATTAAAAATAACAGAATCTTCAAGACGCAGTTACAGGCACTATCAGGGCCTTGTGGCCTAAAGAGAGAATCACAAAACCATTTAGGTTGAAAAAGAGCTTTAAGATCATCAAGTCCAACTATTAACCCAGCACTGCCAAGTCCACAACCACGTAGAATCATTGCATTCTTCCTTTCCCAAAAAGATCTTCAGCATCTCCCAAAACACATAGCAACAAACAGTGATAAAAGATCATCAGAAGATGGAAATATGAATATAGATGACAAACTTGTACATTAACTGAGATTGTTCACATAATTATTTGTGATTAACTACTTGGCCAGGGTATAAATGTATTTTATATTTGTAGACAATGTGCATCTTTTGCTGTGTTGAACTGCACTTAGAGCAGTAGCATGCTAAAAAGGAACTTCTGTATGCTGGTAATGACTGGGACTTTTGAAATTTCTTCTGAGCCAACTAAAAATGTGAATACTTATTTATATGTTATATGCACATATGTATGCAGGGCTACATGGTAGATCCATAGACACATTTTAGGCTCAAGATAGTTTTTCTGCAGCCTTTGAAATTTTGTTTGTTTTTTCTCCCTCCTTTGTGTTTCTGATCTAATAATTTTACTGTTCTGAAAATGGAACTTCAAAGTTTGGTGCTCTTTATGTTATTCAAGAATGAGAGCACCAGCAAATGAATTAGACAGCAAATGCCCTTGATTCACCAGCAATTCCTTCTCCACCCCTAGAGAGGTGCAATCTTTCTCCCGTCCTCCAAGCATTTACTGGTTTTGTCCCCGTTCGGTCCTTTGCCTCTTATTAATTCAATTTCTCCCTCACTGCATATACTTTGTGGAGCCAAAGACTCCTTTTTATGCTGTGTGACTCCTCTGGCTGCCATTCCCCACTCCACTCCAGCTCGAGCAGCACCTCAGTGGAAAGCAGCAGGTATCCCTTCCCCCTGCCAGCACTCTGCGCTATTCCCACAGCCACTGGTCATGTCCCTGCTGCTTTTCATACACTTGGGAGCCCAAATAGGATTTGAGCATCCTTTCCTACAACCCTCATGTTTGTTGCAACCCCGACCCACTGTTCTCCCTGCTCCCTTCATGCACCTGTTCTCCACAGCCATTCAACTTCCCCATAGAAAGAAGATGGCTGGACAGAAATCCCAGGCAACTCACTCTTGCCTACTTCGGGTCTATTGCTACCAGGGCAATTTGGCACCATGTGTCATCAGCCTCTGCCTGCAAAGGTGTGGTCAATGTCAAGATCATCTTGCAGACTGAAATACAGCAGCAGTCATGTTTATGACTTGAGAGGGCTGTGAGAAGACCCTCTTCCTGCCTCCTGGCACAATGTTTCTCTCCAAGAGTTGAGGACAGCCTGCCTGGTTCAGAGTCCCTTGGAGTCCATCAGGCCCTGGTCTGGGGCAGCACTTAGAAGATGCACAGAATATTCTTAGTTAGAAGGGACCCACAAGGATCATTGAGGCCAGCTCTTAAGTAAATGGCCCACACAGGGATTGAACCTACAACTTCAGTGATATTAGCACCATGCTCTAACCAGCTGAGCTAATCTCAGGGTCAAAATGGTTTAGTCTGACTAAGTGTTGCTCTGCGTAAGTAGTGGGAAAGTTACATTTGTAGTGGTAGCAATGTATTCTATAGCAAAACCCTGTAAGAGAAAATTATTTCTTTCCATGACTATTTACTTGAAATAAATAAAGGGTTATAGAAACATAATTTCTAGAAGATAAAACTATAAAGTGCACAACAGCAGCTGAGGAACTACATTTCTTTTACAGCTTGTCTAAAGTGTCACCTTGCAGGGACCTGAGGGCATGTTAAAGTGAAGAGCTTTAAAACAGAGAACAACGAAAGCTAATTCTTCTCCAAAAAAGGCAAACAGGAAACTTGTTTAAAGGACAAAGCTTTCGGTGCATAGCAAGTGCTTGTGTTCACATGTGTGCTCAGGTTGCTTTCAGAGTCTGTTTTATCGGCCCTCTTGGCTCTGGCTCCAAAAGACATCTACAAAAACTCATGTATGCACATAAGTGCCAAATGTGTACACAGCATCTCAGTCACTTTGACAGCAAGCGACAGTTAATTCAAACCATGCATTACAGAGAGCTCATCCTTTCATGATAAATGATGGTATTGATAGATGAGTTATTTTTACACTGAACTTAATTATGTCAAATCTCAGCCCACAAGTGTGCAGCAGAAAGGGTAGCATTTTTCTTTGTTAGTAATAAGCTGTGTTTGTTGTTTTTCTTCTGCACTATTCACATGTAATTAAAAATGACCCAAACCCACATAAATTATATGCCAATTAAAACCCTTTCATCTTTGTTGTCATGTCATGACATACTGGATATACAAATCTTTAAAAAACAAAAGAAAAACAAAAAAAACCTGCCGTAAGACCGCCCTGTCTCTTAGCACCTCATGGTGACATAAATTTAAAGCCTTGAGGAAACAACGACTGAGTTTGCCTGTCTGCATGGAATCAGTTCTGTACATTTTTCTTGCTCAGACTGTTAAATATATAAAGCTTCACACTCAAATCCCTGATGTCCTGTTTATTTCTCATACATGTATTCTTCTTGAAGGAAGAAGTTCGAAGATTTATACAGAGATACAAAATGGTTCTCCCTAATTTATTTGCCCAAAAAAGCAAACTTCTCCAAAAGGGAGTAACTTCAGTTCTTTAAAACATAAAGATCAAATTGTGCTGCTCCTGCTCCCAAAGCAGCATCAGCAGCTGAAGTCAGCGTGCCTGCTAACAGAAAGGTATGTTAGCTCAGTCAGCAGTTTCTCAACTAAAACCAATTAGTTTACAATACAAATGTCAGTGTTCAGAAAACACTATAGTTACTGTAGAACATTTAAACTTCAAAGCCACTCAAAAGCTTGGAAATACAAACCTAAGATGACCACATTGATACCACCTATTACCCCTTCACTGAAATTTGCCCTGCAACATCTTTCTCCTAAATCTCTCCTGTGTTCTCTGCTTACACTCCGAATAATTGTTCTTCAACAGATTAAAATGTATTGCTATAATTTTAGTAAGGGCTAAAGGCTTGATTACAGGCTATGGTTAGCACATTTCAGAGGAGTATATGGTTTCCACAGATCAATTTATTGGTGCAGGTGTATGACACACTTTGAGTAACATGGGACAACATCAAATACTCCCTCAGTTTAATTTGGAACAGGGAGCTGAATTTCCAACACCTGCATCTCAAGAGAGTGCCAAAGACATAGGGTTATTGGATATTTGCAGGAGGGCTACTTTGTAGTTTTGTTTTTTTTAAACTGTGTGCATTTACCCAAATTTTAAGTGGATTCCAAAGCAAATGGGCTTTGTGTGGCCATGAAGCAATTTCCCACACTTCCACAGCTTAATTGTGCACCTCCAGCCCTTTTCCCCTGCAGACCCCAGAGGTTTCATGGTGCACTACAGCATGTGACAAGGGTAACTTGTGAGCCAATGACAAATGCATTTGGCAGCAAGGTCTTTGCAAATGTCCTAGTAGGAAAAGCTTCAGCTGGAGCTGTCTATTGGCCACAAGACACTGATCCATCAGAAATCATCCTTCATGCAAACTAGTTCTCCTGAAGCTATTTGCCTCTTAGCCATCTTTAACTTTAACTAGCCTGGACTAATGTCTAGCATTTTTCCCAGGAAAGTTTCCTACTTCACTGGGAGTCAGGCCAGATTAAAAAAGAACAGTGCCATAATGAACTCAGTGCTCCACAGCAGGACCCAGAAGATGGCTGCATCCTTGCTACACCCAGAGTCGGAGAAGAGACACCTCAAAACAGAAATCTTCAAAATGACTTGGCCATGACCCTGGTAGGGCTTAGAAACCCAACAAGGCTTTGCCATACAGTCCTCCAGACTTCCTCCAAATTCCAGCCTATAGAACCCTTCCTACCACTGCTTCATACCTTTGCACTTAATACCCCTATCATCTACATGGCAACACAAGGCCAAACACCTCCACTTGCCAGGATCCTCCTTTGTTTGAACACAGTGTTGGAAATCTTCCCTCTAAGTGGCTGGGGGCTGGCTGGGTGGGCTCCAGAGAGAGGGAGCTGGTCAGAGCCCATGGCCAGGCAGAGTGGCTACACAGGCTCTCTTAGGTTTGTCCAGCTCCCTCCTCTTGCAGCTTTTCTGTTTTGCATGAGACAGTTTTTGTCTGTTTTTCACTCAGACACATGACTCCCAAACCTAGTGACTGGGGCACCACCTGGGTCAGGGTTTGGAAACTGGACTCTGGTTCTTACTCTGAGCTAAATTTAGATATCTTATTACCCAGAGCCTATATCTCCACACACTTGGGCAAGTGTATATGGACACCCTAGCCACCATGTGGCAGTATTATTTTTCTTTTGCTCTCCAAATTGTCACTTATGCCTAGGACAATGTGACAGTTAAAAAACAAAAGGGATAGACAGACAAACACCTCTTTTGGAATTCACAAAAGCAGGGGCTTGGGACACTGTTGTGAGTAAAACAGCTAAAGTCTCCACAGGCTGAGGAACAGGTTGAGTCCAGATTGCCCACCTGAGCTCCCTGAGCTCAGTGTGACCATTCTCAGCAGGAGAATTTGACATGTGGCATGTGGGTCTGCTCATCCAGCACAGGCCAAGCCAGGTAAAGCATGTCCAGAAGCACACGTTCAGGCATGCAAGGAACTCACTGGATACAAACGTGGGTGTTGAGGTATGTAGGTACCTCTGCAGTGAAGAGGAGGCAAGCAAAATTTCTTAGTATCTAAGTTTCAGACTTAGCATATGAAGTGACTTGTCTGCTAGGCATCCAGGTTCCTCCTTGGGATTAAGTCCTTGAAGATGATCTAACAGCAAGAATCTGCTGCTCACCTCAGAGTGCTGCCGAATCAAAGACTCAGAGAGTGCCTGTTATTCTATGCACTCCTCACACACCCAGTCCTAATTGCTCTTCTGTGATTAAGGAAAGGTGTTTTATCTATACATACAAAAAAAGCATGAAAACTCCAGATGAAAAATATTGCAAAGTTAAGCAGAATTGTTTATGAGTTTGCATCTGTTCTGCAAAAGTGGACATGCCTATGAAGCTAAGCAAAGGCCTGTGTGCACCTCTTGTAAAGTAATCCATCTAGAAGTAGTAATTGTAGGGAAAATACCACAGAGAGCAGCTTCTGTATGTATTTCTGGGAAACTTGAGCTGTTAGTACTGTCTTTGCACTTGGCTTTGCAAGGGGAAAAGCAAATATCTTTCACTCATTTTGATTAAACACATATAGTTTCAGCAGCTTGTGCAGCAATTGCACTTTTTCCTACAGTTTTAGTCCATTTCTGATATAGGAACAGGCAACAGCAGATAAAAGTACATCAACAATTTGTAAAAATGAATGGCAAAAACACCCACGACATCAGGACTGAGGGAGCATCTCAAGTCTTCCCTCTCAAATCTTTATGCCAAACTGTTTTAAAAGGCACGAACAGAAAGTTCTGAAGAAGCAAAACAAATCCAGACATCATGCTTTCCTCTCATTTTCCTTCCATGTTTTAGAATTCCAGAAGAAAAGGCATGCATGCAGAGAAATTTTTTACTTTAGCTGCTAAACGCATGTATCATTCCACTGCTTTTGTCTTATTTTTGTCACATATATTTTAAGAAATAATTTTATGATGCTTCTTAGGAGCATCTCTAAAATTCTCCAGGGAGGCTTGCGTAATTAGGAAGATCTTACTGAATTAATAAGCCAGAGCACTTTGGTAAAGGCATTAAAATAATGCCAAGGCTGTGCTGTGGATGCTGAGCTCCACTCGAGTGTTTTGTTGAAAGCAAGCACTCTCTCCCAAAGCAGCCAGTGGCTCTACCAACCGTAAGCTCATCACTTCGCAGTTGCAGACTTGCAGTGATGCCATACAAAGCCTTTTGAGCCGCTACAAACCACAACAAGTTCAAAACCTGACTCATGTCTAGAACTTCAACTCACTCTCTGTTGCTGGCTTAGTCACTGCCAGCAGCCCTGCATGCATCTGCTAATCCTGCGGTATCCTCAGCACCCTTCCCTCCTGTGGGAAAGCCCTGGTTAGTCAGACTCGCAGCAAGGCAGGGTATTGTTAGATTTCTCTTACCATTGTGCTGCTTTGTTCTTCTTGCATTCTCATCTTAATGACGGTGCGAGCTGTTGGCCTTCCACACTTTCTTTGTGCCTATGTAAATTCAGTGTTTGATGCAGAAGAGGCGGAGACGATTTCTAAGTTAAGGGGCAGGTGTGAGTGAAAGGAGCAACCCAACAGCCAAACTATTTGAAAAAGAAACCTTTAATGTCAAAAAAAAAAAAAAAAAAAAAAAAAAAAAAAAAAAAAAAAAAAAAAAAAAAAAAAAAAAAAAAAAAAAAAAAAAAAAAAAAAAAGCAAAAGCCTTCATAACTTGCCTCGAAAACTGGAAAAACAGGGTGTCTAGCTATAATTTAAGACATTAATAACAAGAAAATACTGCAGTTCCCTGACACATTTTGACTTTTGCACAGTGAAATGCTATCTTAAAACTAGGTCTGATTATTAAAATGTGAAACACTGT